CCAGTGTTGCTGGCTGGGGGATTCTGGGAGTTGAAGTCCACACATCTTCAAGTTGTCAAGGTTGAGAAACACTGATCTAGACTGAGGCTTTGGATCTACACCCAAAGCAGATCTGCAGTCAGATACAGACACTGTGGATTTAGGGGCTGCATTTCTCTAATAGGCTAAGCTTAATTTATATATAACCTTTGCTATTTACATAATCTCATAGCAATTTATAATAAAAGCCAGCAATTAAAAAAATTTAAAATAATAAAAATACACATTAAAACATTATATAAAACATACGGGACAAAACAAGCAGCAATGTAACAAAGTAACAGCAGCAGCAGAAAGTTAAAATTCATAGCAGTATTGTTATTCAACGTTCTGGGAGGATAAAAATGTCTTTGTCTGTTGCCAAAGATCTTAGGGAAGACCTTATGTGGTAGAATACAACAGCTAGACTGTTCTCTGGTCACTGTTTTCTTAGCTGGGAAAAGAAATAACTTTAGATTTGGGGGCTATAACTGGGCCTCCAAAGCTTGAGCATTGTTCTCGGAGTCCCTTCAAAATCTACCACGAAAGCGCAATGCTTAATGACACAGAAAGAGGAATTTTTGGGGAGCAACCACACTGAACATAACCTTAAATTACATTTCAACCAATTGATGGGCCCTGGCTCCACCCACTTTTTGAAATATGGCCCAAGGCGGGTTCCTCCAGGTTCCACAGATTCACTATGTTGGTCTTCCAGTTTCTCCTCACAACCTTAAGAATGAGAAACTTGGTTGAAGTAAATTCAAGGCACCGGTCTTCATGTGCAATAAATGTCTTTTGTCTGTTCGACTTGAGTTGTCAAAAGATACCCAGCCACCTTTAGATCAGTCTTTCTCAGTGGGGTTCTATGGAATCCTAGGGTTGTGCAAGAGGTTGCTCGGGATTCTGTGAGAGATTGTGATTGGATTTTTTTTTTTTTTTAACTTTGCATGCTGTGCAACGCTAGTGCTCACAGCGGTGGAAATTTTCATGCACAATGACTCAGCTGCGAGCCTGCTGCTCTGCTGTTGTTGTAAACATTGTAAAACGTGGATTGTGCAGGTTAGAAGCGAACTGTATTGTGAAGCTTTTATATTTTTTGCTATTTTTATGCAGGGGGTCCCCGAGACCTGAAGCTTATTTCAAGGGTTCCTCCAGGGTGAAAAGGTTGGGAAAGGCTACTCTAGAAGGCTTGGACCCAGAGTTTCCAGGGCCAACTGGCTGGGAATAGTGGAGGTGTGGTTTCAATACATCCAGAAATCACCAGGCTGGGGAAAATTGAAACAGTAGAACATACCACTATTTCTTACATATATATGCACTCTACTTACACACCCACACACACAATTTCTTTTTCTAAGCATGGCAACTATGCAGCCTGCAAGTGCCAACATGCAAACTTCAGCAGATGTAGTTATATGCAATGCTTCCTTACTTAGTTATGAATGCATGCTAAATAAAAAAATTACTTTGAGGTCATTTTTAAAATGGTTTATCCACTATAATGTCTGATTGCTATTTCTCCATACTTACATTCCCCAAGTTAAGAAATGCTTTTTTTCCAGGCTAGGTATTTTACCCGTGGCATTATTTCAGGGAAGATATTCTAAGATCCCATATGAGAAACATGTTTGCACATGGGGAAGGCAATCCAACATGTCTTATTTTACTGTAGTATCTATATGGACATTCGTAACAACCGTATCTTACCCTGTTTTGTCAGTCCCTTGGAAGAAGATAACTTGTATGATTTTACTTTTTTCAGATTTCAATTTCTCTATAACTCTACTGCAAATATTTTACAGTAAAAGTGGAAATGAGGCACCAACTGATGCAAGTTACACTGACCACTAGGATGTGACCAGTTTTGTCCTTATTGGGACTCTTCAGAGGCAGGTAGCCAATGTTATTGATGGGGTTCAAACCCTCTACCAGGAATTGAACTCACAAACCTTAGCACTATACATGAGCATATGTATACATGAGTATATACACCATTTTAAGTTTAAGAGCTATCCAGGAGGCCCCACATGACCAGTTTCATCCTTCCTGGGACTCTTCAGACTATTATTCTTCAGGCTACCCACATCTGAAGAGTTCCATAGGAATGAATCTGGTCACACAGTGCCTCCTAGTGGTCAATGTAATTGAAAACACCACACAGGATATTCACTGTGTAGAGATACCCCCCAGCTGGCTTCATGCCTAAGGCGGGAATAGCACTCACATGGTTTTTAGCCTGGTGCCTTAACCACTACACCAAACTGGACCTAATGCTAATTTCTTATTACTGGACATTTTTCTTTTTTGGCAAAGAAAGTTTTTGCCTCAAAAAGTTAAGGCTTCCCAAGATACTAGAAGTTTTTAACACAATCACGCTGATTTCACACGGATGCTTACACTATAAGATTTAAACTTGATCGAAGTTTTTCGAGTGGCAGAGTCTGGTAGCACGAAACTAAAAGTGAACCTTGGACACACTTGGACAGCTAACTCTACATAGCTTTTAAGCATTATATTTAGCCTTAGGGCCATCTGAAGAGCTGGGAATGTTTGATTTAGAGTTGTTTGGCAACACTGAGAAGGAAGCCAACATAAACAAGATTTCCTAATGCTCTCATACAAGCATAGTGTCCTTTCCAACATAGTTCAGATAGGCATGACCATTTTAAGGCTGAAGGCCTCACTTGGTCTTTGACTAATGTGCTAAGAAGGGTACTCTAAAAAGAACTTAGGGCCAGGACAAAGAAATGGGAGACACCAGAAGAAAAGCTGCAGAATGGGATGGATATTAAATGCAAGTAATGTGATTAATAAGGAATGTCTTTTTTATCACCTTAAAAATTAGAATTAGAAGCAATTTTTGAAGAGGTCCTAGGGCCTCAACACCCATTCTACTCTTTTTGATCAACTTCCTGCAAGGAATTAAGGTCTCCCACTCATAATTTGTTCTGTGGAAAGAAGAATGAGAACTGTAACATTACATGCAGTATTTCTCAACCTTGTTAGCTTGAAGGTGTGTGGACTTCAGCTTCCAGAATTCCCCCAGCCAGCCATGCTGGCTGGGGAATTCTGGGAGCTGAAGTCCATACATCTTCAAGCTGCCAAGGTTGAGAAACACTGACTACATGAAGCAAAATCAAATGTACCGAGACAGAAATGTATGTTCTTATGATCTACCGTAAAAGCTTTCTATCTGAAGAAATCTAACAGAGTGGCAGGTTAAGGTTGAAACTCTCTTCCCCTGATGCTGGCTGCCTGTTCGGAGAAGGCTTATCTCAAGCAGGACATGCAAATAAAATCGCTACTATATGTAACTTGCAGCCATTCTGCACTGTGAGCCCAGTCTCTTTCTCAAGAACAAGGAGTTCCGCTTACATCTGGTTGATTACAATACACTTTCCTGTCATATTCTCAGATTTACAGCACATGTGCAAATGAAAATAGGAAAGTTAGAGGTCATTTATGGTTAATTACTACATTTAAAATTTTTCTATTTATAGCTGTCAGCCTTGCCAGGTAGCTCAGACAAGAAGCACACCCAGTATAGCTCTCATGTTACTGTAAGGTTAAAAAAAAATCTTGCAAGTCTGAAAGTACATCTCCTCCCCCCTTGCTTTTACAATTCAAGAAACTAGGAAGGGTCCCTTCTGAGACATTTGCCATGCCCCCATCCCTTCTGTGAGCTAGGTTGCCTCTTATCTGACTGTTGCCCTGGCTGCGGCTCTTCCCCCAATGCCCAAGGTCATTCCCACACACCATTACATCAGCTGACCTTCCTTTTGAGAGCTCTGGATGGCTTACCTGGAATCTCCCCAAAATTTTATTCCCACAACCACCATGCATGGTTGAACTAAGAGAGAGTTACTGGCCCTAAATCATTAGATGATGCGATCAGTGGCTGGCATGAACATGAGTTTTCTATGGCCAATGTTTGAACCAGTACACTATGCTGGTTCAACCTTTGTATGTACCCCCCCCCCAAAAAAACACATTTCTGGTGTGCCAGTGGATCTCTGGCATCACTAAATTCTCAAGAATTCACCTCTTCCACGACTAATGTTGGTGAGTGATAATTGGTCTTGAAGAGTCACACTAGCCCAGTAGATACCCACAGAAGCAAAGATCTTACTATAGAGCCTTTACACACCTGCCATTGTAAAGCCTCCAGTGTCATCTTCTTTAGGGTCACATGACCATTGCTCACAGCATTCCTTGGGAACTTCAATCTTCCTGGGGAAGGGGCATTCAGGGCCAGGAAGCAACAAATCAACATTGCAGAGGGGCACGCAGCTGATCTGTCCATCCCTGCAGGTACAGTGGTATTTACAGTTGGGCTGGAATGTCTCACCACTTCGATAAATAATTCCATCAAAGACACAGTTGTCTCCTTCAAGGTCTGAAGCAGAAAAAAAAAAGCTGTGTGTGAACCTAGCCTGTTGGGATACTCAGCTCATATCTACTTCAAGACAAGGGAAGAAAAATAGTATGAAAAAATTCTTCCTGCTCACCTGCAAAAAAAATCCTAAAATAGCACACGAGTGCCACTATCATGTATCTATCTTCAGAAAAAGAAATTTGAAAGGTATTCCAGGCTATCTAGTACTGTATTGATACCTTTGAATCAGTGTGATTCTCTCTCTCAGTGATATGACCATATTCATAAAGCCAGGAGTTTCCATCATGCTAACTACATTTAATTTTAATTCAGGGAAAATATAAATGATGTCAAATCAAAGATAGCTTTTGGGCTAGCCCAACTATTGGGTTAGGTATAAGAATCTTTAAGGACTATACTGATTAAATCTGGCAAAAAAATCAAGACACCTTTAAGCTGATCTTAAAACTCCTGGTGACTTCATGCACATCCATATAGCTTTCTTGGTACCACTGTGGACGTGGGTGGTCACTGCCTTCTTCGTTATTTGGATTTCTCAATTTGCCCCAGAATTCGTGACAGTCTCCCATCCAAAAAGTAACCAGGCCTTACCCTACTCAGCTTCTCCGTCCAGCCAAGTTTCTTCAGGTTTTTGTTTTTGCTTTAAGACAGCAAAAATGCCTAACCTTTATTAGGCAAGAGACAGCACAACTAACTACCCACCAACACATAGATAGAGCCAGGATAAAATAATGGCTAAATTCAACTACTGAATTAGCTCCCATTTATAGCCAAACCAAAATGTGGTTTAATTCAAATTTATGATATTAACATATCAATAGAGATGAATATGTCTAGCTCAGGGTTGAGCTGTGGAGTCCTTGGGGTTCTCTGAGCTTGGTTCTTTTCTTACAAACATTTCATTTCCCGGCTAGGTAACATGTTACCTATCCAGATAATGAAACATTTGCAAGAACCCCAAGGACTCCACAGTTAACATATATTAGTTTTTCTCTTCTGCCACATTAAAGATTACAAGGGGGGGGGGGACACAGCTGATGATTTCAAGGGCCATGTGCAGGCCAGGGGTTGCCAATAGTTTATCCTTGTTAGAGATCTTTCAAGCAGCAGTGTTTCTCAA